CAGGTCCACAAGATTCTCCTCATAACTTTTGACTTCCGGACAGTAGTTAGAGAAGAGGCGGGTTTTCGCTGAGGCTGTCAGATGACAAATTCTCCTTTCCGTACTATTCATCAGAATAACATCAGCTGACTCATCCAGATCAGAAAGATATCCATCCGGATATCTTGAACTGTGCCTTCCTTTTCGAATCAGCCTTCGTCTTTGTTTTAACCATCGCTGTTTCCGAGGAGAAGCACAAGGACATGTAAAGAGGAGTAGCGTCGGTCTGTCGAAATGTACGTGTGAGACAATGAAAGAGCCGTGATGAATTTTACCTTTATTATTATTCGAATTATATGATTAGAGAGTAATTTGACATTGAATTCGCGCGGATCGATCTGACGTGAAAAACGATATTCCAACTACACGTGTCGCATAACTTAAATCATCACCGGTATCTAAAGCCTACTTGTTGTCGCCGTTGTTTTGCGGTGTCGGGTCGTCATCGTTGTCGTTAATGTCCTTGCTAGCCAGTGGGTCCTAAACAATGAAGTCGGTGTGGTGCACGTTGTCGTTCAGAGCACCTGCTGTCCATTACGTAATTATCGGTCAGGTCTGGATGAGCCGCCTGGACGCCGTCGTCCAAGATCGACACCACAACCCCCTTGCCGGTGATACCCATCTCCCACACCTTCCTGACCTTCATGTCGAAACCGTTCGATGCGCCGACGCCGTTCTATAAATACAGTATTAGACACCGTCATTCGCCAGCTGACACTTTAATCGTGCACTTCGCCTACGCCTTACCAAATACCATTGCTTGCTGTACAGCGGGTCCGAAAACGGCTCGTCTTCTTTGTACTGAACAAGGTCCCGCTTTACCCGTTTCTTCGCAATTTGAATTTCGCTCCATAATATCTGAGCATAGAAAATGACACAATTGTACGTAAAAACCATGGCTGACATGTAGCACATGCTTACGTTCGGATCCGACGTCAGCTGTTCATGAACTTCCCTCTTAATCCGACCACCGATTTTTTTAAACGAATAGTAATCTTTCAATGATCCGATCTAAATGTCAAAATAAATCAACAAATAATACTCAAAGATATCGATTATCAGTTAAACGCGTAAGTGGAACGAATATTTTAACATAATCGAAGCAGCCAATCGAAATGCAGATAGCAAGACGTTTACCGAGTACATTATGACGTGTATCGGTTCAATCAAAGAATAAACCTTCGCCAAAGTTTCTCTTTAAAAGTTTCACGAAAGATCTCTGGTAAAATGAATGGTGTCTCTTCAGAGGAAATTTCGGAAGGGGAACGAAGAAGAATGAGAAAATTAAATTCGATGGTACATTAAAATAAAATAAGAACACAATTTGATTGACAATCAACAGACTTACGATCAGTGTCGAGCCTGGAGCAAGTTCCGTAACTCTCATCTCAGATTTCATGGCGATAAAGCACACGTAGGATATTCTAAAGTTGGTGGGGCTACACCAGTTTGGGTAAAAATTCATTGGAGTCATGGCTTGAATTCGACAGCATAACGGAAGCAGCCGTGACAAATTATACAAAGGCACATTCAACTCAGAATAAAGAACAGGGGACAGCTAATGTACAAGGAATAACGATTTAGATGTTGAATATACATACGAATGATGCAACAGCGGGATCCAGACTAAGCTGATCGCAAATGTTCCCTTGTCCTATATTCCCGATTCCATGTTAAACGAATGGAACAAACGAAAACAGCAAAGCAATCGTACGCATAGAAGCAACCTTCTAATAAACGTTTGTTACTATTCAGAGGGGTAATCCGTTCATACGAGTATACAGTGAAATTAATTCGCAACATAGTCCACATTAGGATGAACTGAAATTATATGCATTCAGTCCAGACTGGTAATATGTTACTTTCAGCGCATTACTGTCTAAACCTCCTCGGCCTACATCAAAGCCGCTGCGTAAACTAAAACATGCTGGTAACAATGCTGAGGCTTAAAAATAGAGGTAGACTATGAGAGAGTTCAGTAAAACCGCGGAATTACTGGCTTAGACTGAACTGCGTATCGGTTTCGCATGGACAGATTACCACTCTGGACGGTAACATATGCAAATGAAGCAACTTAAGAAAAAATACAGACCTGATGTAATAATGCCTTGTTAATGTTGTTCCAATAATTTAAATATACTACATCTGAAGATTATTGATTTTCATTCAATTCATATTCATTCCAGCCAGTGTTGTCCCCTGTCCTAGCAGAGAATGACATAATTATACGAGTGGGGCCACATCCGTCAATCAGTCGGCTTCGGTGGTCACTAGTCGTTTTGGGGGCACAGAAGTAGCACCGCCAGAGAGTGTTTCCAAAGCTCTCGATCCTGTGCTAGCCCTTCAAATTCGGTACAAGACAAGTGGAATCTGGCGCTGAATCAATTGGATGCTTGACCCAAGTCATTCTTGGCCGTCCTCAAGTTTTTTTTGCGGTCGGTAGTTGTGTCGCCATCCTTTCTATGCATTCGCTGCATGTGTCTAAACCATCGCAGCTGTTACTTCTCAATCCGGAGAAGCTACCAAGGCTCTCTCGGATATCTGTAAAGATCATGAAGCACAACGATTCGTCTCAGAAAGCTCATCCCAGCCTTTGAACAGTGACGGTGGATCGAAGTTTTACAGTCGTTGCCCACGATTCAAGACCGTAAGTGAGCATCAGGATGGAAATCTCTTTAAACACAAAGAAATTAGTCTTCAGACTCAGATCTCTTATACTCACAAAGGGTCGAGCTAGTTCACGCAGGACGCATTCCAAT